ACGTTATCATCGTCTTAAATAGAGCAAATCCATTCGGCGACAAGGCCGGGGCTCGTTGCAACTCCGATGAAGCCCATTTCAGCAACTCAACGTCACAAATGGTTCAGGTAATGCCTTTAACTTATCACGCATAATATTTAGGGATGACACCTCATTTTTCATTAATTTGTTCAACTTCTTGGCTCTGACATAAAGAAGATGTATGATAGAGATCCCGATATATTCTTATCGTGCGATTATTTTGAGCTGATGGTTATTACACCTGGGATTAAAATGGTGGCCGAAATTTTCACTGAATGTTCCTTGACTTTCTGAGTTCTCGATTCCACAAAGAGGAACTGTGAAATTCTGAACGGAACTGCGATCATCATCGTAAATCTCAACGCCTCTGCTAGTATAGCCTAATTAGATGTTTCCAGCTGACCAAGTGCCGGAGGATACCTGTTTGTTGGTATAATATTAAGGTAAATCAAGTAGATTTTTGCGATAACTGACCAAAAGAACGTCTTTGGGGATATTTTTATCAGAGAAAACCTGAAAAGGAGGGAAAACGAGAAACATATACGTCTTACAAGATATGTTCATTGTCCAAGTGCGAGCTTCCTAAACCTCGGAGGAAAAATAAAGTCGCTAGCCCACTACTATAGAAGCCCTAAAGTAGTTTAATGTTGGCTTTGCGTTTGCACAGATCAGAAATTGGTCAACCTGGTCTGATTTTATCTATGTTTTCGTTTGAACCTATTCAAAAGAAGTAGGAAATGCTATTATATGGTATAGCACAGATAGTGACATCTTAATATCATTTTTATTACCATTTTACCACTCCAATACATCTGCTTCTATGGCATAGAAAGTGTTGAAGCTAGTTCCAGTTTCATGGAAAAAGGAACATGGAATGTGGGTAGAGGTAAAATATGAAGATAAAGATAAAGATAATGATAAATGCAACATCGCTTAGGCTGAAAATACAGTCATCAAGTATTTCAAAAATTTCTCTTTAAAAGGTACGTTGTAAACAAGAATGATCACTATATATTATGATGATCACTAATGATCACTAATGATCATTACATATCAAAATTATATTTGATCACTAAATAAGTGATCAGATATAATTTTTCATTGATCTACGTGGTAAATAACGATAAAACTGAAAATGGTTTGCTTTTTCTTTCAGATTCCAACTAATGCATGACGAATTCTAGACGATCTCCGCTCTATTCTCTCATAGGTGAGTGGCATTGTCAATGTTCCGTTATTAGCATACTTTACCTGCAACAATCACGTATAATGAAGTCTGAGGTGTATATTCTATACGTTTTCCATAAACATAGTTGATTACGCGATGGTTCAAGCCCTATTCTATCGAATTAACGGAAAGCACTAAGTTCATAGGGCACAAAAACCTTCGAATGACTCATGTTCAGCAACAAAATTCTGTCGAATGGCAACTTTAAAACTTCAAGGAAACTTTAACGAGAAATGACTCATAATGGTAACATTACCGTTTCAAAGTCTATCAATCTGATCGCACATTACTCGAAAGCTATGCGTATATTTCATTACAGAAGCCTTGCAGATATGCGCCACGCATTTCTACATGATGAACTTTCAACTCTTGCTGACATCACCGGAAATGAACGCAACATTTTACACCTGCCAACAATTTT